GTCCTCACAGTATGATGCCTGAGCCATAGTCCTGAAGAAAATTTGGAAACAAGTAATATAGTTTATCAATGACTCTTGGTTGCCTCTCAGAGTGGTAATAGTGATTGATGTATTTGGCATGCTTTACTGCTTTGGATGGAACTATAAGTCCCAGCAGACGCTACAAGGGCTAGTAGCTCCACAGCCTGCTGGGACCTCTAGCTCTACAGCAACTGCAGAGCAACAGGTTGAATGAAAGCATGGTGCATTTAAAGTGATTCCACATTTGCATTTATAATTGAACTACTACTAAGTCATTTTGATGCACCTTGTGCATGTTCGGTAGGGCCCATATCCATGATGGTCTTTCATATACAGCTTTGTAACTTCTCCCTCTAGTGGCTATCTATAGATCAAACATGTACAATTAGAATGCTTGTTCAACAGCTGCTGAGATAAAGCCATTTACAGGATAATACACATGGGGCCTATTTTGTTTGATGGTTCTTTATGAGTCTGAGCTGTACCTCTTAGCAAAAAGTAGAGTCCATAATCAGATATGGCTACCCATATTTACATATACAGGTATATTTACACCTAAAACAACTATTTTAATGCATGGAACTGATTATTATATATATATATATATATGATATATATATATATATATATATATATATATGAATATATATTATATATATATATATATATATATATATATATATATATATATATATATATATATATATATATATGTGTATGTATATATATATATATATATATATATATATATGAAATATATATATATATATATATATATATATATATATATATATAATGTTGCAAAAGTTACAAGCAGGGTATTTAATCAGCCATTATTGGCTCTTCGATGGCACCTTTGTTCATTGTACATTCTAGTAGAGCTTCAGTAGCAGTGGTACGGCTAGTCCAATGGGACATTTCTGACTGGTTCAGGGGCAGGTTTGCTTGTCAAAGTAAATTCAGTTCCCAGTTTTATTAGCAGTATAGTATAATATTAGTATAGTATAATAGTAGTATTAGTATAATAATATTTAAAATTAGGAATAAGCAACTTGATTGGAAAATTAGGAAAATTGCAAATGTTTTTTATTTACCTAAATAAATGTATGCAGGCTTGTCCTAATTCCATACACATCAGACAGATCTGAATTGAAATTCGTAAAAAAAGGTGAATGAATTGGTTCTATCAAATATAATCAGAAGAACGGTACAATTTTTAGATAAACCAAGATTTTCATTCAGGTTTGTTGAAGTTCAGAGATTTGGCCAATTCAGTAACTCAGACAAATATGATTCCTAAATGATATTATTCTCTGCAGACTGGACGAGTGTGAAGCTGGAAAATCTGTGATTTACAAATTTGACTTTATTTGAGATTGATTCGCTCATCCTAGTAAAAGATCCTTCAGTTGTGAGACTGTTTTGGATAATAATACTTGCACACTATAAGGATACATGCAAAAACTGCTTGCATGTATGTTGTGTACTGGGTGAAAATGTCTTCTATGTAAGACTGGCCATACATTATACAATTTTCTTGCTCATTTTTCCTTTAGATTTACCAAAACCATATAATATGAGGTCAAACCTAATCAATTTTTATGCAATCAGGCAGGCCTTTGCACTCCATAGTTGAAGGTAAATCTAAAGGAAATCACATAAGAAAATTATAAATACAAGTATTATACAGTACAATGTATTGCCCGCTTTAGAATATCTTATTAGAAACAGTGTTCTTGAAATTTTAAAACATATGAAATGTCCAGGGAGAAAGGCAAATGCAAAGAAAAATAAAAAAAAGGTTAAAAAAAAGAAAATAGTTGAGATTGTGGAAGCAAAAACTGCAAGGAGTTTGTATGAACTTGCCATTTTTGCCTTGGCATCCTCCATGTGCTGTTTTCCTTTCAAAAACAAAAAGCAAGCTGGTAAATTAATGGAGACCTTTTCAATATGTATGACTGCAGTGGGATCATAATCTCTTTTAGTGATGGGGTTAATGTAAACATTTCTACATCCTCTGTATATGGCAGGGGTAGGCAACCTGCGGCTCTCCAGCTGTTGCACGACTACAAGTTCCATCATGCCTCTGCAAGTCAAAGCTGTAAATGTCAGTTCTGTAATGTTGCAATGCCTCATGGGAAATGTAGTTCCACAACAGCTAGAGAGCCGCAGGTTGCCTACCCCTGGTATATGGTGTGCAAAAAAGCACTATATAAGGTTTTGCCTGTTGATCATTTAAAGGTGAAGTTTAATCTGTGCAGAGGAGGGTCTGTCCATTCCCTCCACTCAGGTCACAGATTACACTGAAGTTCTGTGCTCTAGCTGTGTAGTGTGGGGCACTGGATACCCCCCCCCCCCCCCCCCCCATGCCTTCTACTGCTGAGAATTAGCCTTTAATCTGTGTACTTAGAGGAGAAAGGGTTGCAGATAAACAGGTAGAACTTGTTATGTAGAAGGATTTGTTTCATCTCTGTGTATCACCTGAGGTCAGTTAATTCCCTGGGTATAGGTAAGGGTTTACGCCTACTTTAATGTAAACCTGCTACAAATGTGACAATTTAAACAATTGAAGAAAAAATGTCTAAAGAGAATTAGGTAGACAGCTACAGTTATACGCTAATCTTGACTTTTCCTGTAAGAGTCAAGGTTGACCTCTGCATTTCACACACACTCATGAGCCTCCCCTATGGGCCCTTAAATGAGGTGGGAATCCTGCCTGATTAACAGAAATGGTGTGTGATGATGGAAGCTTTTTTCGGAAACGTCAAGATCTGCATATAACTTCAGCTGCTTGAATCTGTCGACTAGTCATTTTGGCAGGCAGTTATCAGTGTAGCTGGGTCTGTTTGTACATTTTGGAATAGCCTAGGTTTATGACTTGTTTACATTAAGGCTGGAGTATCAGGTGAATTTTATCGACTTGATCACACTATTAAATTCACTAGCATTCAATCGTTACCAATCACTAAACCTATGGAAGAAATTGATTCCTCTTGTGTTAAGTACACAAGTGGCTTGCAGTAGCCATTAATCTCTAACGCTCATGCTATTCTCTACAGTACATTTTGGAAATATAATTTTTTTTTTTGCTGCATATATTTACCGCCACTTTTGGCTAAGTTATATGCCTACAAATGCAAACACATATTTATATAATCTTTGCTACTCATAGAAAGCCGTGTTTGACATAGAAAATTAAATTCAAATGGAAAGCTTACCAAAAAGATTTTATTAAGAGTTAAATTGATGAAGTTCTGCAAAGCAAAAATTAATCTGGTCATGAAATGGTTAATAAAGGAGCCTCAGTTGTTGCGATCAGAGCACCTCAAGGAAAATTGTCTGATATGGGGGGAAACAAATAGCTTCAGTTTGTATAAATATGAAAAGTAAATAATAATAATAACAAAAAAAAAAGACAAAAAGCAAACAGTTGACTTCACCCCTTTCTTAATAAGCTCTTAAAAGTTCCCTTTAAAGAGACCCTGTCAATAACTTCAACCTGCAGGCAGGGCCGGGACAAGGGGTGGGCAAGAAGGGCGGCTGCCCTCTGTGCTCCATGGAGAGTTTCTACCTACAAAATGGCAGTAGTAGTGACAGCAGCTTCAGAGTAACAAACATTTGTGCTGGAGATGAGAGTATTTGTGCTGGGGGGAGGGAGAAGAGGATAAGTGTTAGGAGGGTTGTCTGGTGGGGGGGGGGGTATGTGCTAGGAGGGGGATTTGGGGGGAGAGTATTTGCACTGGGAAGAGGAAATTCAAGGATGGCAACGGCATTCAATTTTATTATAGGAGGCAAAATTTGTGGGGGGGGATTTGTGCTGGGGATGATTTGGGGGACACATCAGACCGCACACAGACGTCCACAACCACCAGCCACCTTTGTGGGGAAGAGGTCCTTGTTCCCATCAACATGTTCCCCCTGCCCCAAAGCACCCTCCCCCTCATGCTGAGGGCATGTGGCCTGCATGCCCAAGCTGCATGCTTGGATAAGAGTCTGGTCTGGATTTCTTAAAAAATTTGGCATGGGGGTTCCCCTCAAAATCCATATCAGACCGGAAGGGCTTGGTATGGATGGGAGAAGACCCCACGCCATTTAAAAAAAATAAATACTTTTTTTGATTACTGGCAATTTTTTTTCACATTCAGCTGTCAGCAGGAACAGGGGTGTTCAGCCCATCACAAATAATAATATCTGAAAGAATAAAGAATGTGGTTTACCTATTGTATTTCACACCTAGGACAGATAATGTTTAAATATACCTCACTCTAACACAAAAACGTCTTGAATAAGAACTATAAAATGAAATAAATAGTGGTAATATTGGCCATAAACAAAACACAGACAGGAAAATGTTATTGCCCCCATACGTTGGTAGCCAGTATAGTGGCTCATAACAGTGGTGGCCAATGGAAAACAGACTATCATATATAAGTGGCAAGAGGCAGAACACACTTCATATTGATCAAATGAACTAAGAAATTAAACATATACTGTAGTAATAATAATAATGGCCATAAAAGAAACACAGATAGGAAAACTTTATTGACCCCATACATTGGTGGCCAATATAGTGGCTCATCACATTGGTAGCCAATGGGAAACAGACTATCATATATAAGTGGTCAGTGGCAGGGCACTCTTCATTTTCATCAATAGGAAAACATTCCTATGGAATCCTGATTGAGAAAGGCTGGTATAGACCACAACTTAAATGGCAGCTCTGAGTCTACTGGGGCTGCAGACATCCCATTTAAGATGGTCACACCCAGAAAAAGTCTCAAAGCTTTTGGTTGTCCATACAGGGTAGGCTTTTACAGGTAAATAACATGTGTAAGATATGTTAAATGCACATATAATGTCATGAAGAATTTTGTGGAAATCAATCTGGTGACAGGGTCTCTTTGTGGTAAAGTGAAGTACATTTCTTATGATGGCTTGAAGGTGGCTCTAGGTTCTAATCACAACTCTTTCTATTGCAGAAGATGCAGAGCTGTACCAGCAGGCTGGGGAGGAGTGCCAAAACCAAGATTTCAGCCCCAGCCCTGGCAGTGACCTGGAGGAAGAAGAGGAAGATGAAGAAGATGAAGAACTTTGCAGTGAAGAGAGCAGCAATTCCACTGCTTCTGGAACCATGGACAGGGATCCAAGCGTAGTGGCCACACAGACAGAGGAAGGCCTTGTGGGTCAGATTAAATCTCCTAACTCCCAAGAGACTGGCAAGAACCAAGGGCTGCAGAACCAACAGCAAGGCCAGCATGGCAAGCCCAAAAGAAAACGAGCAGGCTCAGATTCCAAATCTGGTAAGCCCCGCAGAGCTCGCACCGCTTTCACCTATGAACAGTTGGTGGCCCTAGAGAACAAGTTTAAGTCCACCAGGTACTTATCAGTATGCGAGAGACTAAACCTTGCCTTGTCGCTAAGCCTGACTGAAACCCAAGTAAAAATCTGGTTTCAGAACCGACGCACTAAATGGAAGAAGCAGAACCCTGGAGCTGACACCAGTGCCCCTACAGGAGGCTCCAACCATGGAGGAGGGTCTGGTATGGGTGGAGGACTGAGTCCTATTAGTCATTCCCCTCCAATGGGCAATCCGTTAGGCATGCATGGACACCCTGGCTATCCAACCCATGCACCTGGTGGGCTCATGTGTACAGCTCAAATACCATTCCTTCCAGGACCAGCTGCAGTCCTCTCACCCTTTGTTCTGAGCTCCCAGTCTTATGGGGCTCCAGCTTTTTATGCCCCTCACTTATAAAAGGACCCTAACTGACTGCATTCTGTGTGATTACTGTACAGAGCTGAAAAAATTTCACAAGGGTGCAAATGCCTATGATGGCAAAGACCCTTCTCCAAGGAACAGAGCACCTCTTTAAACCTGAAAGACTTCCATTATGGTGCAGATGCTCCGTAGTGACTAGGACCAACCCTAGAGCAGTAATGCATCCTGAATGTTCCTAACCTGCTATGATATCACAAGAAGCCCTGAGATCCTAGCTAGATAAAAGCCCATGATGTAACTTTTAGGGTTCTTGACCTCAGATGTATCTTTTTCATCTTTCTGATGAAATAACTGTACATTTCTTAAGCCACCTTCACAAAAAAAAAAGAAAAAAATCAGAGACCCAGTCAGATTCAAAATCAAATTGGGAGCACTTTAATTCTTGCCCATCTACTTTTAACGCATGAACTAAATTTACATTATAGGGAGAGCTAGATGTTGTCTAGAAATTGTACAGAAAATCCTAAATTGATATTTTGTTTCTCAATAGGTTCTAATTTTTTTTTTTTTTTGATGCAGCAATGATGAAGTCATTGACTTGCATCTGAAAAGCACTTGATTCATACAAAATCTAATCAGAAGGTTTTGATAGCCACCATTTCTGTACATGAATTGGGCCTTATTAAGGCATTAAATGATGGTATTTGCATTGCATTACTTATTCACCTCCTATTCCAACTGAATGGGATTCACTAGTGCAACTAACAGATATGTAATCAATACTTTCTTTACAGTTTGGGGATCTTTTTCATATAAAAAACAGAAATGAATAAAACAAAAAAAATCTGTGTCCTTTTTCCTCTCAGGGTGAATAGGAATTTAGAACCTGTGACTTAATCTACATTGTTGGAACAAACAATGGATCTTCTTTTCGTGATTTCACGATATACACAATTGTATTGTATGATTTATCCATGAAAGAATTGTAATTAAACAATGTTAATAATGAGTCATCTCCGGCCTGGGGGGGCTGGGTGGTGGTTTGGCTGCCCCTGGCAGCGAGGGGGTTAAAGTCACATCAGTGAGGTCTGCTACAGTTTTATTGTACCTGATTATTCTACATATTGGTGTATATAAGTTATTATGTTGATGAGGTTTAATTTTATATATTTAATGTATGATGATAGGGCGTTATTTATAGAGACTATTTCAAGCACTTTGCTGACAAATTTAAACATTGAACAATAAATAGTAAAAGAAAGCTCTCTGCTTGGGTTTGTGTGTTTTTTTGGCTATTGTTATCAGTTTATTTGTGTTTTTTTTTATGTTGGGTTATGAGGTTTTGACACAAATACTAGAAAGACATGGAATAAAAAAAAATTATTACAAAAATATGGAAATATAATTAACATCCAGTAGCATTACATTGAGTTATTTTGTCAATATTTATTCAATCAAATTCATTAATGATCCATGAAATTAAAAATGTGGTTTGTAGGTTGGATGGATAATGGATGGATTGGATGGATGAATGCATGAATGGATGGATAATGGTTGGAATGGATGGATAATGGCTGGATTAGATGGATGGATTGGACAGATGGATAATGGATGGATGAATGGCTGGATAATGGCTAGGATGGATGGATGGATAATGGCTGGAATGGATGGATAATGGCTGGATTGGATGGATGGATTGGACAGATGGATAATGGATGGATTGGATGGATGGATGGATGAATGGATGGATAATGGCTAGGATGGATGGATGGATAATGGCTGGAATGGATGGATAATGGCTGGATTGGATGGATGGATTGGACAGATGGATAATGGATGGATTGGATGGATGGATGAATGGATGGATAATGGCTAGGATGGATGGATGGATAATGGCTGGAATAGATAGTTGGATGGATGAATGGATGGTTGGATGTATAATGGATGGATGGATGGATGGGATAAATAAATAACAGATGGATGGAAGGATAAGTAGATAACTGATGGATTGGATGGACTGATGTATGATATATAGATAACTGATGGATTGGATGGGCTGATGTATGATATATAGATAACTGATGGATTAAATGGATGGACTGATGGATAGAGGAATGGATGGATGGCTAAGTTGATAAATGGTTTGTTGGATGGAAGGATTGATGGATGGATAACAAGATAAATGAAAGATCAGATGGATTAGATTGGTGCTAGACAGACAAACAGATACATAAACAGGAAGCCATGTGGCCCATGTGTTGTCACCACTCTGTGCAGTGCAGAGGATAGTGTCTCAGTGGCCTCTGTAGCAGTAGTCAGTGTATCATGGTATCAACAGTTAAGCGAATAGGAAACCAAGTGATTTGGTGGTCACACCAGCAGTGCTGTGGATTAAAATAGTGCCACTCTGGGGAAGGCAGTTGGCACTCAAAGGCACAGTGAGAAAAAATAAGTGATAATTATACATATATTATACAGTTGATCATTACTAACAGCTGACCAGTACATAGGGTAGTCAGTAAGCTCAGTGGGTACAGCAACCATGCATATAGGGCAATGAGTAGCTCAGTGATCACAGCAGCTCAGTATATAGGGTAATCAGTATCTCAGTAGTCACAGGAGTCCAGGATATAGTGTAGTGTGTAGTTCAGTGTTCACAACAGTCCAGTATAGGGTAGTGAGTAGCTCAGTGGGAACAGCAACACAGTAAATAGGGTAGTGAGTAGCTCAGTGGTCCAAGGAGCCCAGCATATAAGGTAGTGAGGAGCTCAGAGGTCACAATAGTCCAGTATATAGGGTAGTGGGTAGCTCAGAGGTCACAGTAGTCCAGTATATAGGGTATTGGGTAGCTCAGTGGTCAGAGCAGTCCAGTATAAGGTAATGAGTAGCACAGTGGGCGCAGCAACCCAGCAAATAGGACAGTGAGTAGCTCAGTGGTCACAGCACACCAGTATATAGGGTAATGAGTGAGTAGATCAGTGGTCACTGGAGCTCAATATATAAGGTAGCGAGTAGCTCAGTGGTCACAGTTAGAGATGAGCGAATCGAAGTAGGCGAAGTGGAATTCGTTTCGAATATTAGGAAAATTTCGATTCGCGTCGAAGAAAGTTAGGGACACAAAACGTTAGTTAGGGCCACAGAAATTGTTAGTTAGGGCCACAGAATCGTTACCTATGTCCATAGAAACGTTACATAGGGCCACAGAAACGTTACTTAGGGCCACAGAATCGTTAGTTAGGGCCACAGAAAACGTTACTTAGGGACACAGAATTGTTACTCAGGGACAGACAGAATTTTACTGAGGGTACAGAATTGTTACTGAGGGCCACAGAATCGTTACTTAGGGCCACCAGAATACGTTAACACTAGGGCCTCAGAATTGTTACTTTACTTGAGGGACACTGATTTGTTACTGGGGCCACCGAAACGTTACTTAGGGCCACAGAATTGTTATTCAGGGGCAGACAGCTCACATGGGGAGTGAGGGACACAGAGGATTGTTACTCAGGGCCCACTGAATTGTTACTACGTAGGGCCACCATGAACCGTTACTATAGGGGGCCACAGAATTTGTTACTTAGGGACAGACAACAGAGATTTTTTAGGAGGGACCCACTCAGATTGTTACTGTGAGGGCCACAGAAAAGAATCGTTACTTAGGGCCACAGAAACGTTTACTATAGGGACACAGAATTGAGTACTGATGGGCCAACAAGAAAACGTTACATTAGGGACACAGAATTGTTACTGAGGGACAGACAGAGAATTGTTACTGAGGACACAGAATTGTTACTGAGGCCAACCAGAACCGTCACTTAGGGCCACAGAAAACGTTACTTAGGGCCACAGAATTGATAATCAGGGACAGACACAGAATTTGTTTCCTGAGGGCACAGATTTGTTACTGGGGCCCCAGAATCGTTTTAGGGCCACGAAAAGTTACTTTGGGGGCCCCGAATTGTTTTCTTAGGGAAGACACAGAATTGTTATTTAGGGGCACAGAATTTTTTTATGGGGCCAAAAAAATCGTTACTTGGGCCACCCGAAAAGACTTAGGGCCACGAATCGTTATTTTTGGGGCCACAGAAAAGTTACTTAGGGCCCCAGAAAAGTTACTTGGGGACACAAATTGTTCTCAGGGGCAGACAGAATTGTTAAAGAGGGATACGAATTGTTTCGAGGGCCCAAAATCGTTTGTTAGGGGCCCCAAAACGTTTACTTAGGGCCCAGAATGTTT